GGCCCTTAAGCCCCATGCTAGCTGACCCTGTGCTGTGACCCCCCCAAGCTTACTCTCACCTGTCTGTGTGTCAAGCAAAATGGGGTAGGCAAAAGAAAATTTTCCCCATGGGGATTAATAAAGTATCACTATTCTATTCTAGGCAGGCAGATAGTTAAACATTTTATTAAGCTCTGGAGGTAAGTTCAGGGAAATGAATGTGATGCTGTGATTTGCTGTGATTTGCCTTGAACTTATTAAAAGTTCGATTTCCGCAAATAAATCTGTCAGGATCAGCGCCTGTTATTCTCTGTCCTACGTGTTCCTCTCCCATTTGACCAGCAGGTGTCGCCAGTCATCCCGCTTCCCCCATCCCTGTCTTGTACCCATCAGCCCTAGTGTGTTTTCCGGTTTCCCTGAGCCACTGCGTAACTCTACAGGCTGAATGTGTGAACCGCTCAAGTCATGAGTTTGAGGCTGGCTGGACACCAGCTTCACCTATATTCGGTGTTTATTGGTTTTCCATTCCCCTAGTGTTTATTCTTTATCTTTCTTTACCTGTTTTAGGTTTACCCGGCTTCTGTAGTGTTTTAGCGTGTTCTGTATATTCTTATGTCCTAGTATTTCCTAGTCTTCCTGCTGTTTACTATGTTTCCTGGTTCATGTAGTTGTTATGTTTTGCAGTTTTTGTGCTCATTAAGTATTACTGATTCCACCTGTTGCTCGTTGTCCTGTGCTTTCATTGATTGGTTGTTTCTGTTATGATTCTCAGCTGTTCCTTATTTCCATGTTTTCTGTATGGTTTTAAGTACCTGCCCTCACTTTGTTCTTCAAGGAGTCATTGCTGATGTTACTGCATGTTGTTGTACTGCTTGGATTTTCTAATCCTGTGTTGCTTGGTTTCCCTAGTATGTTTATTTATAGTACTTTTTAGTTGTTATTTCTTCTGTTTAGTTCTGACCCCCTCCTCCTGGAGCCGAACCTTATCGTGGTGGAGGGGTTTGCGTGTTCCAATGATCCCAGGAGCTAAGTTGCCCGGGGCTTTATGCCCCTGGTAGGGTCACCCAAGGCAAACAGGTCCTGGGTGAGGAACCAGACAAAGTGCGGCTCACAAGACCCCTCATGATGAATAAAATAGTGGAATCACGGTTTCCCTTGCCCGGACACGGGTCACCAGGGCCCCCCCCTGGAGCCAGGCCTGGGGGTGGGGCTCGATGGTGAGCGCCTGGTGGCCAGGCCTGTACTCATGGGGCCTGGTCGGGCACAGCCCGAACAAGGCACGTGGGTCCCCCCTCCAATGGGCTCACCACCCATAGGAGGGGCCATAGGGGTCGGGTGCGATGTGAGCTGGGCAATGGCCGAAGGCGGGGACCTTGGCGGTCCGATCCTCGGCTGCAGAAGCTGGCTCTAGGGACATGGAATGTCACCTCTCTGATGGGGAAGGACCCTGAGCTGGTGCGCGAGGTAGTGAAGTTCCAGCTAGACATAGTCGGGCTCACCTCGACGCACGGCTTGGGCTCTGGAACCAGTCTTCTCGAAGGGGGTTGGACCCTCTTCCACTCTGGAGTTGCTCACGGGGAGAGGCGCCAAGTGGGGGTGGGCACCTGGGCGCCTGTACATTGGGGTTTACCACAGTGGACGAGAGGGTAGCCTCCCTTCGCCTTCGGGTGGGGGGACGGGTCCTGACTGTTGTTTGTGCTTATGCACCAAGCGGCACGCCAGATTACCCACCCTTTTTGGAGTCCTTGGAAGGGGTGTTGGAGATCACTCCTCCTGGGGACTCTCTTGTTCTACTGGGGGACTTCAATGCCCACGTGGGCAATAACAGTGAGACCTGGAGAGGCGTGATTGGGAGGAACGCCCCCCCCGATCTGAACCCGAGCGGTGTTTTGTTGCTGGACTTCTGTGCTCGTCATGGATTATCCATAATGAACACCATGTTCAGGCATAAATGTGTTCATATGTGCACTTGGCACCAGGACACTCTAGGCTGCAGTTCGATGATCGACTTTGTAGTCGTGTCATCGGACTTGCGGCCGCATGTCTTGAACACTCGGGTGAAGAGAGGGGTGGAGCTGTCAACTGATCACTACCTTGTGGTGGGTTGGCTCAGCTGGTGGGGGAGGAAGCCGGCCAGGCCTGGCAGGCTCAAGCATATAGTGAGGGTCTGCTGGGAACGTCTGGCGGAATCCCCTGTCAGGAGGAGTTTCAACTCCTACCTCCGGCAGAACTTCTCCCATGTCCCGGGGAGGCGAGGGACATTGAGTCCGAATGGGCCATGTTCCGCGCCTCCATTGTGGAGGAGGCTGACCGGAGCTGTGGCCGTAAGGTGGTCGGTGCCTGTCGTGGCGGCAATCCCCGAACCCGCTGGTGGACACCAGTGGTGAGGGATGCCGTGAAGCTGAAGAAGGAGTCCTATTGGGCCTTTTTAGCCTGTGGGACTCCGGAGGCAGCTGACAGGTACTGGCAGGCCAAGCGGGGTGCGGCTTCAGCGGTCGCTGAGGCAAAAACTCGGGTATGGGAGGAGTTTGGCGAGGCCATGGAAAACGACTTCCGGACGGCTTCGAGGCGATTCTGGTCCACCATCCAGCGGCTCCGGGTGGGAAAGCGGTGCAACATCAACACTGTTTATGGTGGGGATGGGGTGCTGCTGACTTCAACTCGGGACGTTTTGGGTCGGTGGAAGGAATACTTCGAAGACCTCCTCAATCCCACCGACACGCCTTCCAATATGGAAGCAGAGTATGGGGACTTGGGTGTGGACTCCCCTATCTCTGGGGCGGAGGTCGCTGAGGTGGTTAAATAGCTCCTCAGTGGCCGGGCCCCGGGGGTGAATGAGATCCGCCCAGAGTTCCTTAAGGCTCTGGATGCTGTGGGGTTGTCCTGGTTGACACGCATCTGCAGCATCGCGTGGACATCGGGGGCAGCGCCTCTGGACTGGCAAACTGGAGTGGTGGTCCCCCTCTTTAAGAAGGGGGACCAGAGGGTGTGCTCCAACTATAGAGGAATCACACTCCTCAGCCTCCCTGGTAAGGTCTATTCGGGGGTTCTGGAGAGGAGGGTACGCCAGATTGTCGAACCTCGGATTCAGGAGGAGCAGTGTGGTTTTCGCCCCAGCCGTGGAACAGTGGACCAGCTCTACACTCTCCGCAGGGTTCTGGAGGGTTCATGGGAGTTTGCCCAACCAGTCTACATGTGTTTTGTGGACTTGGAGAAGGCATTCGACCGTGTCCCTCGGGGAGTCCTGTGGGGGATGTGCTCCGGGAGTATGGGGTGCCGGGCTTCTTTTTAAGGGCTGTTCGGTCCCTGTATGACCGGTGCCAGAGCTTGGTCCGCATGGGCGGCAATAAGTCGGACCTGTTTCCGGTGTGGGTTGGACTCCGTCAGGGCTGCCCTTTGTCAGCGATTCTTTTCATAGTTTTTATGGACAGAATTTCTAGGCGCAGCCAGGGCGTTGAGGGTGTCTGGTTTGGTGACCTCAGGATTAGGTCTCTGCTTTTTGCAGATGATGTGGTTCTGTTGGGTTCATCAGACCGTGACCTTCGCCTCTCACTGGGACAGTTCGCAGCCGAGTGTGAAGCGGCTGGGATGAGAATCAGCACCTCCAAATCCGAGACCATGGTCCTTAGCCGGAAAAGGGTAGAATGCTCTCTCCGGGTTGGGGATGGGGTCCTCCCTCAAGTGGAGGAGTTTAAGTACCTCGGGGTCTTGTTCACGAGTGGGGGGACGATGGAACGGGAGATCGACAGGCGGATCGGTGCGGCTTCTGCAGTGATGCGGGCGCTGCATCGGTCTGTCATGGTAAAGAAGGAGCTGAGCCAAAAGGCAAAGCTCTTGATTTACCAGTCGATCTATGTTCCTACCCTCACCTATGGTCACGAGCTGTGGGTAGTGACCGAAAGAATGAGATCGCGAGTACAAGCGGCCAAAATGAGTTTCCTCCGCAGGGTGGCTGGGTTCTCCCTTAGAGATAGGGTGAAGAGCTTGGTCATTCGGGAGGGACTCAGAGTAGAGCCGCTGCTCCTCCGCATTGAGAGGAGCCAGATGAGGTGGCTCGGGCATCTGATTAGGATGCCTCCTGGCCGCCTCCCTGGTGAGGTGTTCCGGGCATGTCCCACTGGGAGGAGGCCACGGGGAAGACCCAGGACACGCTGGAGGGACTATGTCTCTCGGCTGGCCTGGGAACGCCTCAGGATTCCCCCAGAGGAGCTGGATGAAGTGGCCGGGGAGAGGGAAGTCTGGGTCTCCTTGCTGAGACTGCTGCCCCCGCGACCCGACCTTGGATAAGTGGGAGAAAATGGATGGATGGATGGATAGTTCTGACCCCATGTGGTTCTTTTATTTTCTGGCTTGCCTTTTGTGTCAATTTTTGTTAATAAACCTGTCACTTCCGTGGGTTGTCTGTCTTCTCCCCGCCTTCACCATGCCCTGCTGTAAGTATTTACACAAAAAGCCTGCTTTCAGGTTTTTGAATTGCATAGGTATTAATAATTGGGCCATGTATACGGAGGTTGAAATGCATCTTTCGCATACATACACCCAATATTTATATCTGATGCTCATACATCCTCCAGGGAGTTGTCTAAATCTAAAATATAAATCATGGTTAAATGAGTTATAATCATTTTAGACACATCATAAAATGCATCCCTTAATGACCTGTACTGGCTCTGTTTATAAACATGCATATTAAATCATGTCATTATTAAAAATATCATTTGTGGCATCAATAATACATTAATTTTTATACACAGATGACTGCACACTTTGAGTAAAACATATTATGTGGGAGGTAGAAACAGATGCTTTTTGTTTAATGTGTCTCGATACATAAATCGTTTGTTTTGCCTTATGTAAATCTAGAAAACGGTCAAAGAGAAAGCCGGCAAAGGCAGAGGTGAGGGGTGTGGGCAGTCTGTAAGTGCGCTGCTCTGATCTGAGCCTCCCCCAAGACTCCTGTCCAGTCCGCCTGTCGTCCTGCATTTACATTCACGCATTGAAGCACATGACACTGTGCTTACCCCAACTGACACGGACACGGGGCTGAATCTCTTTTCAGCATTCCATCTCGAAGCCAGACTTGGCACAACACCCACTGTAACGTGAGACTTTCTGTATCATGCGACGACTAGACGGCCCAGCCACTTGGCAGGGGGGTGGGAGATGGGCATGCACCCCCCCTCGGAGTAACAGAAGCTTCGGGCAGTGCGCTTGCTGCATAAGAGCAATGTCACGGCAGAACTGCAGCGTTAAAAGACGGACACAAGACACAGGCACCGGAAATAGATCCCCTATAAGCAAAGAGACTGGATTTTAGCTTCAGATTGTAAGGTCCCTTTGTGAGGGTGGAGTCACTTTTGCAGCAGGAACAGATCATCACCCTGGACGCTTCCATCTACAGGCAGCACTGTTCTCGGTGAGGCGGGGAGGAGAAGGAGCGGTTTGATGCCAAGCAGGCGCGTGGCGGGTGGGGGCAGTGAAACCCCAAAACCTCACCGCAGGTTACGCGGCAAAGCTTGAAATGAGAAAAAATGACAGCTTGGCCGACGCACAAGGCATTCTTACACATCACGTCCGAGTAACATCTCCGTCACTGAGGGATGTGGAGCGTTCACAGCCCTGCTTTTAGTCTCTCGCCGGGCAGACAGGTGATGGTCCGCTGCGGCCATTTCTGCTGGTATTTTCCCCTTAATAAGCACGGACTATGTCTAGTTAAAACGAGATAGGGACACGGTGTCTAACCGGCTTTCTGAATAATGTATAAGAGCGGCTTAGCTATGGATTAAGTTTCCCTCTGCTGACTTACATTTAAAAGTCCTCGGTAATACTGGCTTGTCTTTCTCACCCACAGGAATGCTTGGGGAGGGGGGGGGGGGGGGGGGGGGGGGGGGGGCGGAGAGAGAGGCGAAACACCGTTACCTGCGGAAAAAATCAATGAAGTTTCACGTTCAAAAGTCAGATTCCTTCCCCCATGTGTACAAAACTAATGGTGAAACATTACAGCCTGGGCTATGCTTGATGTTTTGCGCTTTGGAACGTGTGGAACATGGTGCTGTGTTTGCAGCATCGAAACAACAGGGGGAGGGAAAAGAAATCACCCCAGCAGTCGAGCGAATGAAGAAGTAATACTGGGTTGAAGAGAAACTTGTGATAGATTTTAGAATAGCAAAAAAAAAAACAGGATATTGGGGAATACAGTGAGCTTCAATGCCACCCAGGCCATAAAGAGGCGATTAAAGTCTTTTTCTCATTTTTGCACGCCGTTCGAAGGAAGGCTGATTGCCATTTTATAAGCCTGGCTCACATCCTCTATCTAACGTCGCACCGTAAATACACTTTCTGAGGCGCCAAAATAGATTCTCATCCCTGTCTTGTAGCGCCTCAAAGCGACTCCTAACTGTCACATTAATTCATTCTGGAGACATAATTTATCATGAAATTAAACATTGCAACAGCTGTGAAGCAGAAACTGATGATGGAAGGACAAAACACATTTTTCCAACCTCAGCAAATCCTTCACTTTCCACTGATCCCCTCCATTTATGCCGGCCTTAAATGACAGCCGTTACCCATGACGCCATGCCAAGCCTGGCCCGCAATTACCCATGATGCCAGGCCAAGCCCGGCCCGCAAGGAGCAAATAGCTGGGCGGCTCTAAGCGACGTGTCAGGCGAATCTCGATTCCCTGGAACATTCCGGAAGGGTGACGTGCCACACAGGTTCTGCGGCCATCCGTTCCGGGCTTATAGGCATATCCAGTGAGGACCTTGGCCAGGCTGCGAAGGTCACAACCCCAGCAGCATGCGGATGGGGGAGTCGGCGACTCGGATGACCGTGGGTCCGATCCTGTTACTTGAGACTCACTCCGGCACAGATTTAAGATGGAGAAGCCCGCCAGGCACACTCCACACATTTCTGCGAGAGGCCACGCTCGCTCAGATAAGGGCAGGCAGCTTAACAGGATGCTGTCTGCCGGAACAGTCCGGAATACTCCACCACACGCCTTCAAGCCAAACACGCACAAAGAGCGCAAATGTGTTCCAGGACAGAACATTAAGGTCACTCGAGCAAATCCTGCATCATTTATTTCACTCTGGTTGGGAAACAAACACTCGCCGGGTCCGGAGAGGCCGCATCGGAGCCAGACGTGGCCGCCGGGCCGGGGGAGGTTACCGCCGCTAATTCGGCATAGCTGTCGAGTAAGTAATTAAACATGTCAGAACCAATAAGGGTCATTCCTGAAGGAGGGGAGGGAGAGACAGCAGAGGAGAGCAGGGCAGCAGCGGGAGCTGGAGGTCGGTGCGCAGTACACTGGCCAAATCCTCACCACCGCCAGCTCCTTAATGGCATGCTCCAACCACATTTCGTTTTCATTATGATACAATGTAACCATTCATTATTATGATGCAGTTGTTTAAAACTGTACCTCGCTATTATGTCATTGGTTCCCAGTGTCAATACTAGCTGCCTCCTGCTCCAAAAAAAGTCATTCAAAGTTGCTAAAAAGATTAATCGATTAGCCAGGGGTGTGGTCAATACCCCCACTCAGCATTTACTGTCTCCACCCCACTGTTCCACAGCTGGCCATTGGTGGGTCCCCCCAGGGCTTACTGCTATCCTCTGGCCCCCTGTAAAAATCTTTGGCCCGGCAGTCTGATTTGTTCCGTCGCCAACACTGATATTTCCGTTTCACACACTGTTGAATTCCACATCGCAAGAGACCAAACTTGGTCTCATTAGCAAACACCTACAGCTTAATCACATGCAGAGAAAGAATGGATCATCTGGCCACCCAACGGTTCAGCACCCCCCACCTCACACCCCCAACCTACAACTTTTACCGTCATCACCCCCCTATCGACAGTCATCCACCACGGGACCCCCCAAGATCTCTAACACATTTTGAACACTGGTGCCAATGCAACGAACCCAAATACCCACCCCAGGAGGGTGTCTGGGTTACGGCGCTGACCCACGGTACAATGACATCACAGAAGCGCGGGTGTGTGCCAGTATCGGACTGTTCAGCTCCTGATGGGATGGACGCAGATCTCGAAGCGCCACATGTTCTTGCACACTATGGTTCCGTGTAGTCAGTCCAATAAACATGGCAGCTTTTGACTCCAGAACTTCCTCTAATTACAGCACGGCAATGACAGATGGTCGGGCCGAAAATGTAGAGAAGTCCGACGATTATTTATAAGAACAAATGAGCAGAAATATGCTTGTAATTACACACATTCATAGCAAATAAGCATCAAGGCTCCATGCTGACTTTGTCCAGTGTATAACTATGCTTCTGCTGCATGCTGTTATGCATACAAACATATTCAGTGTTACAACCAACGAAACATCTACAATTCAGGCAGAAAAATCAATAGAATTTTGTCTGGAAATATGAATATTCATTATCTGTGGTTAATGAGTTCTACTAAACTGGACTGATTCATCCAGAGGCAGTGATCAGAAAATTTAAATGTGCAGAAATTACTTAACTAACAACAATATATCCAAAGCTCCTTCTTTAATGGCAAACTCACGTCAATCTCATTTATCTAAAAGGCTGAATAGAGATGGTAAGGTCTAATAATCTCTCAGACATAAATGTGTGACATTTATGTCACCGTGTCCCTCCCTCGTGGGGCGCCACTGAGTAACAGACCATTGAGACGAGTCTGAATCGCTGTTCCCTCTTTCCACGGATCGATGGCTGCAGGATAAAGAAGAGCGTCTCTGCAGGAGACAGGTGCTGCGACGCCCCATTGTTGCAAAGGTTAGCATCCTGAGATCTACTGCAGGGCATTGAGAAACACAACAGTGTCGGGGGGCTTGTCAATACCCCTGCCTCATGGGAAATAATGATCGTTCTGGAACATTCATCAATATCAATACAGAACTTGAAATTTACGTCTAAACTTACTGGGGATTATGTTTTTCGGTCGGTTTTAATAAATACTCTCGTACACCAACTTTGAGTTGCTTAACAAGTTAAAATGAGATTGAAGTTAATGAGTTAAACTTGGAGAAATTAAGTTTATGAGTCACAGCGTCAGCTAAGTCTTCAATGGCATCACATGCATTTGTAGTTCAGTTTTAGGAGAACGTGTGCTGGTTTAAACGCGCCCTAAATCATTATGTATAGCAAAGCCGTACTGAATTAGTATGTCAGACAAGGACACCTTGAAAATAATGCCCAGGTAATTCAGACAAGATCGTTTCTCTGGGCATTATCTAGACACAAGTACATCTCCTAAGTACATCTGCTGAGGAAGGCTGAGAAGTCATGTCTCGTTACCTTTTAATGACTTTAAAATGTTGCTACCCTCCATTCAGGTATAGCTCCGTACAAACAGATCATAAGTCATAAGTACGTCAGGTTATAAAGTTTTCAAACTTACACTGAGACAACCAACCAGACATCACTAGTAGGTTACACAGCAGTATTATATAAAAGACACTGTATTGTATTTCCCCGGAAGACACTTTCCCAGTTTCTGTAAACTCTATGACCTTCCAAACTACCATGGACTGCCAGTTATATAATCTAGATGCACTCTAGAACATTCTGGTAATACAAACTCCATCCCATCCAATCAACAAAACTTATAGCCTAATTGATTTGCACAGGATCGCGTGACCTAAGATCTAAACGTGCTCCTAAGATGACATCCATGTTTACATGAATGAAGCCATTTCTGCTTCCACACTAGAAAAATTCCATCAGTTTAAAGTACCATAGAATAAATTAAATAAACAGGCTGAATAGAACAAAGACCACGAACAGACATACAGAAGCTTCACGGTCACAGGCACATTTCCGTGACCATGTATGATTACCAGTTCCATGCCTGTAACGACTGCCCCCTCTATACTCTTTACAGCAGGGGTCTCAAAGTACCATCCCTCAAGACGGTTCTATCCAGCCTGCAATGCATCATTATTGTTATTATTTTTAATCATTATTAAATTCATTATTAAATTATTAAAGTGTTTAGTGAATCATACATGTTATTTTATGTCTCTTTCACTTAAAAAAGCTAATGTAGCCCACATGAGTGGCAAGTTGCCCGAGGTTATTGGAGACCCTAGCCCATGATTGCTCCTTTGGGCAGCTGGGACTCAGACCTGTGACACGCGGTGCCAGGAGACACGTCTCCACTGATCAATAAATAAATTAAATTAAATCAATAAAATTGACCAAGTTCCTGCTTGTGATGCACCCTCACAGACCCGAGACCCAGGCAGATCTGCTCATAAATGAGGGTAATTTGCTCCCACTCTGCCACATGCCCGGCAAATAGTAGGTCTGTCTGGGACTGACAGCTCTGAAAAGGAGCAGAAAATAGACCTCCATCCCCCTACCATCAACACCCCCCATCGTTAGCTTCTGAGACGCCACCGCCCAGCTGGAACTAAACCCATTATGCATATACTTTAATGAGAGAATCTCTTTCAAAGGCAGATTATCTGTGCTGGATATGAACCTCTGTGTTTCTAAGCCGCAAATTCCGAGCGGTTTTCTTGCTCTGGATCTGCTCGCGATAGCTACCAACAAACACCAGTCATGAAAAAAGGATTTAAATAACCAGGAAAGCCGTTTAATTAAGAAAGGGAGAATTAAAAGTGCAAGAGACACACTTCATAAACAGGATTGCCAAATTTGGTCAGTTAGCTGGAGTGAGATTTTCAATTTGATACAGGTCTGCATACAGATTTACATGTATGTAAGAGTTTTATTACCTTTTATTTTGAAAGAGTTTTAAACCACCCTAAAGCTTTTGATGTAGCTAATTTTA